GAGAGAGAGAGAGAGAGAGAGGAGAGAGAGAGAGAGAGAGAGAGAGAGAGAGAGAGAGAGAGAGAGAGAGCGAGCATTAATAACACAGCGCATTTGCCAAGGGCAGCTTTCGCACCTGAGTCAACACGTCAACTCGAACTGAACTCGAAATGTCAACGGCTTTGGTCTACTGGCAGTCAATGAACGCCTCGGCAGCTGGCCATGAGCCGGTCGCGACCTCCGCAACAGACCCGACAGCAGCTGGCGTCAATGCTTCCGGCTGGCCAGGTCCCACTTGGAGCAACTGGAGCAATGGGAATGGCAACGGGAATGGCAATGGCAATGGCAACGTTTATCAGCTGCATTTGCAGCTGCAACAGCCGCATTATTTGGCCCAAATCGATTGCCAGCACACGATCAAGAGTTTCACCGCAAATCCCAGCTCCAAATTCAAAGCAACGAGCGGCAAGCGTTCGGATCATCCAGCAGCAGCATATAGTTGTAAGCGCTAAGTTTCCTTCCCCTACCCATTCCCCTTTGTCTATGGCTATTGTGTCTTTCCTTCGTCAATGGGAGACATGTTCTTAAAGTTTTTCTCAATATTTTGCATTCTTCACGACATTTTCTGAATACTCTATTCGATTTCAAAGAAGTGTATAATGAAAAGCGCACAGATAGGCTCAAGCTTTCAGTTATAGCAGCTTTCATATTCTGTTCGCTTAAAGCTTAAGAATTGCAAGTAAAAGCTGAAAGTTTTGTTTTTTGAAAGTTAAAGCTTAAAGCTTGGTTTTGTGCTCGGTAAATTTAGTTGAAAAGCACTTTCGGCAGGACATTTTAAAAGATATGCTTAAAGTAAGCTTATTTGTATTTAATCAATCTACATTAAAACGATCTTCAATCTTTGGCAAGCTTATAAAGCTTCATTCTGTTCCAAGTTAGGTAAACCTCAAAAGCACATAAAAGCTTTTAGCGCTATTGAACCTACTCAAAGCTCGTCTCAGTTCTCCTTGGGGCAATCTAAGCTTCAAGTAAGCTAATTTGTATTGATCAGTAGCTCGTCATGCTAAAGTTCATGTTAAACTTCATGTCAAGCATACCCATACAGCTATTAAACCTCGAGCAAGCAAAATTGTATAATCATACGCACAAAGCACGCGTTAGCGCTGTTAGATTTGTATGCATGTTAAAGTTCATGCCAAACTTCATGGTAAAGTCCATGTGAAGCATACCCAGAATGTTGTTGAGTGCCGGATAGTACTTAAAGCAAGCAAAGTTGCATTGAGCCGCACGCTAAAGTACATGTTAAACAGCAGCATGTTTAAGTGCATGTTAAACATCATGTCAAGCATACCCAGATTGTTATTGAGCACCGTTTTCTTCGGGCATATGTTGGGCGAGGGTCGGAATGCTGCCTCGTCGCGATCTTTGTTTTGCGCAATGAAATTGTCAATTCATTTGCGTCTTCACACGCCGCCTTCCCTCTTCTTTCGCTCAGCAAACCCCTTGTCAGCAATTGCGAAATGCAATATCTGTTTCAATGCGCCCCCCTCGAACTGCCGCCCATTCCCAACAATTCGCTGACTACCCTTTTGAGCTATTTTTGACTCGGAGCAAAACAGAGAGACGAACAACTATATATATATATACGCTGTCTCTGTGCATATTGTGTAATAATTCGTATTGGACCTGTTTGTTGTTGTTGTCTAGTTCTAAATTTAAGTAGGAAAACGTAATTTGGGCGGGTTTTTCTTCTTTTTTTTTGGGTTCGGGCCTTTGGCAGCGGCGGCCTCAGGTGTGCGCGACAGGTGCCGCAACACTTGCCCAGGTAGACTCGGTCAATGAACTCACTTTCTTACATTCTCCCTCTCTCTCTCTCTCTCTCTGTCTGATTCTCTTGCAGTATCCGCTGGCTATGGTTCCAGTGGTGGCGCCGTGGACACATCGCAGGGCAGCGGGAGCGGCGGCGGCGGCAGACAGCGCCATGCGCCGCTCTACGGACGCTTTGTGGTCGAAGAGGAACTGCCCGCTACGCATCGTGATGTTATGCATCATGTGAGTGACACTCATATAATATACTCTAATTGAATCTAATTGTTATTTCTCTGCTTTCACCTAACCTCTAACAGCACTCTAGTCCTTCGTCTTCGTCGGAGGTGCGCGCCATGCAGGCACGCATACCCACACACTTTCGAGATCCGGCCATGGCACCATTACGCAAGCTAAGCGTCGATCTGATAAAGACCTACAAGCACATCAATGAGGTAAGTAGTAGCCAATCAGCTCCCTCTCTCTCTCTCTCTGTCTCTGTCTCGCTATATTGGCAACCTTGGCAGCCAGTTGGCTGGCCATCATTGATCAGCGAAATTAGACAATTAGCGCGTGCCCGTCCTTGACCCGGTTAACATGCAAAACCCCAAACCGTCAACTGATTTGCTTGTTGACAAACACGCAACTGAAATTTTGCCAAATGCGACGGCGGCTCACATGGGTTAACTGTCACATGGCAGCAAGAATTGTCGATGCGTTTCACGGTTCGCTTTATTTTAGACAACAATTCGAATTCGAACCTATTTAAAGCCTAGAAATCCAGCCTAAAAAGCGCTTAACATAGCTACTTAACATTCGCGTACAGCAGCTTAACAGAGCTGTTAGCAGAGGATCGCTCGCTACTTAACATTGGCCTGCTATAAGTTTTAGCCCGTATTGTCATGTTAACTACAGCGCCTTAACAGCGCTGTTAGCAGAGGATCGCCAGCAGACTCTCCCGTTTCCTCTCTCCGCTCTGCGCTCTTTAACTGTTAATATGCAAATGGGCAAGCGTATGCGCTTCTACGTTTGTTGAATGGATTTTCACTTGTGCGCCGCATAAATTAAGCGTCAAAAGAAACCAGAAAACAAAGTAAACGAATTGTACGAAAATGCAAAACTGCAAAATGCTCAACTTAATGCATGAAAAGAGCGTTAAAGATGTTGTCCAAAGTGAAAGTCGCGATAAAATTGTCTGATAAAAAAAAAAAAAAGTAATCAAATGAAATGAAAAAAAAAAGTTGATTAAATGATTAACCCATGCAACAGCAGCTACAATTAATTGGCCGGCAAATTGTTGCACACGCACACACACACACACACACACACAACCAACAGCAGCAGCAGCAATGTGGGCAGCAGAACCAAACCCAAAGCGCCTGAAAATATGCCCCGTTACTTGTTACATTGTTCGAGCGGCCTTATAAGCGCATATACAGGCGCTGGCGCTGACGTCGGCGCTGACTGCGCTGCTTTGTATGCTACACAAATGCACACACACATACACAAGCGAGAGAGCGAACAATTAACTGTGACGTTGCGTCGGCTACGGCCCACAGCAAACGTCATTGCCAGGCAACGGCGGCAGACGCCGCAAAGTAGCAACAGCAACAGCAACAGCAGCCGCCGACGCAGTTGACGTCGACGTCGCCGTCGGCATACACCCATTTTCGAGCATTGCTCTCAGCTCGGCGACGACGATGCGCTCTGCACGTTTATTTCTACAACGCTCGGGTCAGCAGAGCCGCAGCCGCAGCAATTGTTCGCAGTCGTCTTTTAGGCGTTGTTGAATTTTGTCCTCTCTCTTGCTCTCTCACTCACCGTCTCTCCGTCTTGTTACACCAACGTACATTGTGTTCTCGCAGCTCGCCCTCGCTCTGTTCAACATGCTGGCAAGCGCAGCGCTCTCTTTCGCACCGACGCTCGCATGCGGCGTTAGCAACAACTTTTTTTTGCCAGGCCAGCTGCATACAACGTTTTTCGCCAAGCCAATGAGCTGCCTGTGGGCAGCAAAGAGACCAGGGGGAGGGGTATGGCAGAGAGGGGGGGGGGAGTTAAGCGTCTAACCACAGTGAGTCTGGGGCAGGTGAAGGAGTGGTGGGGGGGGGGGGGGGGGGGGGGGGTAGACACAGAACGATTTTGTATAGAGGTTTGATATTAATCGGGCGGGTGGAGAGGAAAGTACAGAAGTAAGTGAAAACTTTACAAACTAGCAGCTAATTAATTAACATTGCAAAGAAATTTAATTACTGTAAAAAGTTGATATGTGTGAATAAAGGTATGCACATAAATAAGCTGCTAAGTAACTGAAAAGTAAATAAATGTAAAAGCCAGACAAAGCATAGAAAGCAACAGCAATTAATTAAAGCAGCTGTTAACGCAGTTTTGCGTTAGCAGCGAGCGCACGTTGAGCTGACTGTAGATTAACATAATCCTGTAAGAATTAACGCAAGCAGCCGCAATTATTACATTGCTGTAGTCCTTTTGCCGTTATGTGTAAAAGTTATGTGTGTTAATTAAAGATTCAATAGCTTCTGTAAGTAATTTAAAAGGATACAGTAATTCGATATGGATCAGAACTTGACGAATAAGATAGCTTGTATCTTTGTCAACTGTGGAATACTGAGTCTGAGCTTGTTACGCTAGAAATAATTAAGACGGACTCTTGATAGCGGCCCATAATGATTTTGTTGTTGAAACTGATGTATTAAATATACATATGTGAAAATCCTCTGCAAGGATATAAACAAAAAGAATATGACGTGCTGTTAATGCAAGAACTGCAATTAACAGAGTCTGTTGCTGTTATCGATAACAGCATAAATTATCGTTGAGAATTTCTACTACGATCATTCACTTAAACTTTTCCCCAAAACACTTAATTGAACATTAACTTTAAGCTCTAGTTTAAGATCGCATAAGTGAAACAATTTACAAAATAAATCTATAAATATTTGTCTATTTTAACTTTAGGTATACTACGCGAAGAAAAAGCGCCGTGCCCAGCAGACACAGGGTGATGATGATTCGTCAAATAAAAAGGAGCGCAAGTTGTATAATGATGGTTACGATGATGATAATCACGACTATATCATCAAAAATGGCGAGAAGTTTCTGGATCGCTACGAGATTGATTCACTAATCGGTGCGTATGACTTAAACCTAGTTGGAAATATATAGATGTATACATGTAAATTGAATAGTAAAAGCTAGTTTCTATCGTTGCCCGGGCGCCGAGCTCATTTCCATACCTTACTCGCCCGTGAAAGGTGAAAAATTTTTATATTTTCGCAATTGTTCAAACACGTCTAAGGTTAAATAACTTCTAAGAGTTCAAACTCTGCCATAAACGTCAGTCAGTTGGTCAATCAATCAATACATCACGACTACTGTAGAAAGTTCCAGCCTCTTAGTTCTCAGGTCTCAAGCTCTGTCTTGATCGTCAATCAATCAATCAATCAATCAGCATAGCTTACATCACGAAAAAGTAGCTAACTACAGTGGAAAGCTCAGTTTCAGCTCAGCTCTAAGAGCTAAAGCTCTGTACTGATCATCAGTCAGTCAGTCAATCAAATAATCAATCAATCAATCAATCAACATCATTGCTTACATCACATAACATTAGCTAACTACTGTGGTAAGTTCACCCTCTTAGTTCTTAGGGCTCAAGGTCTGCCTTGATCGTTGATCAATCAATCAAAGTTCAGTTTCTTCAATCAAACAATCCAAGTCATAGCTTACATCATGTAGAAATTGCTAACTGCAGTGAAAAGTTCAGATTCTTGAGCTCTGCTTTGATCCTTAGTTAGTCAATCAATCAATCAACACCAACAGTGCAAGTTCATCCACTTGGTTTTGCCTTATTCGTCAGTCAATCAATCAATCAACATTACTTAAGAGTAGCTAACTTTTATGTAAAGTTGAGCCTCTTCGTTCTTAGGGGTTAAGCTCTGCCTTGATCGTCAATCAATCAATTAAAGTTCAGCTACTTCAATCAATCAATCAACAGCATAGCTTACAGCACTTATAAGTAGCCAAGTTCTGTGTAAAATTCAGCTTTAAGACCCTGAGGGCTTCGACTCGGCTTTGTTCGTCGATCAATCAAACAATCAATCAATCAATCAATAGTTTTATCCATATAATAACAAGTTTTGTTTCTCTTTACAGGCAAAGGCAGTTTTGGTCAGGTGGTCAAGGCCTACGATCATGAGGAGCAATGCCACGTGGCAATCAAGATAATTAAGAATAAGAAACCGTTCCTAAATCAGGCACAAATCGAAGTCAAGCTGCTCGAGATGATGAATCGTGCGGATGCTGAAAACAAATACTATATCGGTCGGTGCAGAGAACCTAAAGCTTAAAAATCAAAGTTTAACTCTACCCCTCTCTCTCTCTCTTTCTCTTTCTGTGTGGACTTTGTCATTTGCAGTCAAGCTCAAGCGCCATTTTATGTGGCGCAATCATCTGTGCCTCGTCTTCGAGCTGCTCTCGTATAACCTGTACGATCTGCTTAGGAACACAAATTTCCGTGGCGTCTCGCTGAACCTCACGCGCAAATTTGCGCAGCAACTGTGCACGGCCCTCCTGTTCCTGAGCACACCCGAACTGAACATAATACACTGTGATCTGAAGCCCGAGAACATATTGCTATGCAATCCCAAGCGATCGGCCATCAAAATTGTTGATTTCGGCAGCTCCTGTCAGCTGGGACAGCGCGTAAGTGAAACCCTACTGATATGTATATAATATAATTGAGAGTAGACTGGAGTTGGAGTCGTTCCAGCCTCTTGTCCGTCTGTCCATTTGCGCTCAACACACGACAGAAGCTATCGATTGGCTGTCAGTTTTCTAATATCGATAAATATCGATTTGAAAGAAAATTGGTTGAAATTGCGAAAGTTCAAACCCAGTTTGCAGCCTTGGGTACACTCTCATCAGAGCATTAGGCCAGTTGAAGGTTCCATTCGTAGTAAAAATAAGAGAACAAAATAAATGATTTGAACCATTAAAGTTCAAACCCAGTTTGCAGCTAAAGGCAATCCTGGCCAGAGTATTGCGCCATCAAAGCAGTTGGAGACTTAGTTCATACTTATTAAGAACTATTAAAGAAATGAGAAACGATTTGAAACGCCAAAGTTCAAGCCCAGAAGAAAATAAAACATGATTTGAACCGTCAAAGTTCAAACCCGGCTTGCAGCTGTGGGCAATCCCGGCCAGAGTATCCAGTCACATTAGAGTTGAAGGTTTAGTTTGTTGTAATAAAAGAAAAAGAAGCAAATAAGACATGATTTGAACCGTCAAAGTTCAAACCCAGTTTTTGTATATGGCATATATGTTTGGTTTTTTGAACCGTTAGAAGTTCGAACCCAGATTTGCAGCCTGGATTCATTCTATTAAAGTCGATCTAACAGTCTCGTCGTCTTTCACAGATCTATCAGTACATCCAATCGCGCTTCTATCGCTCGCCGGAGGTGCTGCTGGGCATCCAATATGATCTGGCGATCGATATGTGGTCGCTGGGCTGCATACTGGTCGAGATGCATACCGGTGAGCCGCTCTTCTCCGGCTGCAACGAGTTCGATCAGATGAACAAGATAGTCGAGGTGCTGGGCATGCCGCCCAAGTATCTGCTGGATCAGGCGCACAAGACGCGCAAGTTCTTCGATAAGATTGTCACCGATGGCTCCTATGTGCTAAAGAAGACCCTAAATGGTC